CCCGCCCCGCCCCCGCCCCCGGCGCCGGTCGAGCACCCGCCGGCCGCTGCGGCTGCACGCCGTGCATCCACGCCATGGCGCCATGGGCTGGACCCTCCCGTCATTACGCGGCGCATCCAGCGGTGCGCCAGCGTCTGGGAGCTTGACGAGCTCGTGAGGCGCCACGGGCCGGCGTTCAACCACATACATGTGCCGCTGGCCCTGCTGCAGCTGCACCGCCTGACACAGGGGCGGCCGGGCGAAAGCGACGACGGCGATCGTGGTGGCGGCAGCGGCGGCGACTATGGGGACCCTGAGGCGGATGCGCTGCGCGAGCGCATACAGAGCGGCTCGGAGGCCAGCACCAGCGGCAGCAGCACCGGCGGCGGCCATCGGAGCAACGGCAGCAGCAGCAGCAGCAGCAGCAGCGGCAGCAGCAGCAGGGGTGGCAGCGACGACGCAGGCAGCGGCAGTGGGCTTACTGCGCCACACAGCCAGAATGGTAGTAACGGAAAGCTGGAAGGAGGCAGAGCGCAGGGATTGCGTGATGATATCGGCAGCAGCACGCAAGGCGGCGGCGGTGGCGGCGAGGTGGCCCCTGCCCCTCCCCCCACTGCGGCGGCTTCAGGGGCTGGATCTCCGGCTGGGGACGCAGCAGCTGCGGGCGTAGCTGCGGGGCAGGGAGCAGCAGCAGGAGGTAAAGACGCAGGCGCGAGCGTGGACGCAGGCGCTGACGGGCGGCCCCCGCCCCCCGCTCACGCGCCGTCTGTCGAGGCGATGCTCACGGCGTGGCTGCTGGCGCGCACCGCGGTGCTGCTGCCCGAGCTCGACGCGCAGGGCGTGTCCAACGCTCTGTACGTGCTGGGCGCGCGGCGCTTGTACCAGCCCGCCGCTGTGGAGGGCCTCTGCTCTGCCGCCGCGCGCGTGTGCAACGACATGGCGCCGCAGCACATCGCGACGACGCTCTGGGCGCTAGCGCGGCTGCGCTGCACGCCATCGTCGGGCCTGCTGCGGCGGCTGGTCGCCAACGCACTGGCGCGGCCGCCGCGCACGTTCCGGCCCGCGGACACCGCCATGCTGCTCTGGGCGCTGCCGCGCCTGGGCCTGCGCCTGCAGCGCCACGTCCCGCGCCGCCTTGCCGCGGAGTCGGCGCCGCAGCTGCTGAGCTGCGGCGCGGCGCCGGCCGAGGCGGCCGAGCAGCTCGCCGGCCTGGCGCGCTGCGGGGTGGCGCCTGACGCAGACTGGCTGGCCATCTTCTGGGCCGCCACGGGGCCCAGGCTGGCGGAGGTCGACGCGGGGACCCTCGGTTTTGTGGGCACGGCGCTGGGCCAGGCGGGCCCGCTGGCCGCGGCGCCGCCTGCTGAGTGGTTGCTCGCCCTCGAGGCAGCTGCTGGTCGAGCCGGGCTGCTCGATGTCTGGCTGCCGGGGTTGGGGCGCGCGGAGGCGGGCGCACGGCTGCTGCACGGGCTGTCCAAGGGCGTGGGGCCGGGCCGGCTGGGGGCGGACGGGGGACGTCTCGCTGAGCGGCTGATGGCGGGGGCGGTGCCTTCGGCGGACCAGCAGCAACAGCAGCAGCAGCAGCAGCAGCAGCAGCAGCAATGGGAGCAGGGGCTGCGGGCTGTGCAGAGCCGGAAGCAGCGGCAGCAGCAGCAGCAGCAGCAGCAGCAGCAGCATCAGCATCAGCAGCAGCAGCAGCAGGCGTCGGTCCCCCCCGAGGTGGCGAGCCTTCTGCTGGCCGCCGCGGCGCGCCTGGGCCGCCTCCCGCCCCGCCCCTGGGTCTCCGCGGCGCTCTCCGCCGCGCGAGCCCGGGCTGAGGCCGGTGGCGCGCCCGCGCAGGAGGTGGCGGAGACCCTGTGGGCGCTGGGCAAGCTGCGGGCGCGGCCCTCAGAGGCTTGGATGGCCAGCGAACTCCGCGCCCTGCTGCAGGCCCTGCCAGCCGCCGAGCCCGGCCACATGGCGGTCGCGCTGTCGGCGATGGCGAACCTCAACTACCGGCCCGGTCCCGCATTCTGGCGCCCCGCTTGGGACGCGAGCCGCCCCCTGGTGGCGCGCGCGGAGCCGGGAGACCTGGTGCGGTTGCTGCGCGCAGTTGCGGTGCTCGGGGCCGCGCCTCCAGGCGCGTGGGTTGCGCAGGCGCTCCGCACGACGGGGGAGCAAATGTGGGTGGAGTCGGTGCGGGGGCCGCAGCGGCGGTGGTGGCAAACACAGCGGTTGCAGCGTGAGCAACCGGACGCGCTGCACGCCCAGCGGCAGCAGTTGCGTCAGGCAGGTCAGCAGCAGCAACAGCAGCAGCGTATTGCGGGGGCCCTTAATGGCTCGAGTAGCAACAGCACGGGGCTGGACAGCAGCAGCCCTCGCGGCCCTGGCGGCAGCAGCAGCAGCAGCAGCAGCAGCAGCAGCAGCAGCAGCAGCAGCGTCAAACCCTTTGCCTTCCAGCCCTGGCCGCTGTCGCGGCTGGCGGCGTGCGCCAGCAGCCTCGCGCGGCTGGGGGCGGTACCGTCCGCGCAGTGGCTGAGGGCGCTGGTGGAGCTGTCGCGGCAGCAGATCGAACTGGGGCCGCCCTTGGAACCTAAAGTGAGCAGGCAATGCAATCCCCTTGTGCCAGTCGCTTTGCATATGGGAGGCTTTTGCGCCTGCCGGGCCAGCGCGGCAGCAGCCAAATCGCAACCCTGCCCGCATGACCTGCGGAGGCGCTGCCTGCTGTTGCGTTGGGGCTGCCCACCCCTTCCCCACCTTCTGATGTGCCTCCCTCTCATCCCCCTGCAGGTGGTGGCGCAGCTCGTGTGGGGCACCGGCCACCTCTGCCGCGCCTCGGGCTACGCCACGCGCCCGGGCGCGCAGTGGGTGGCGTCCCTGCTGGGGCCCTCGGGGCTGTGGCCGGCCAGCTTCCAGGGCGACGCCCTCGCGCTGCTGCTGGCCGGCCTGGCCAAGCTGCAGACCGCCCCGGACCGCGCGTGGATGGCGCAGGCCGTGGAGCGCAGCGCGGAGGAGATGGCGGCGATGAGCCCGCGGGTAGGGCACGGGGCATTGCCTGGCGCCCCAGCAGCTTGGGTTCTTGGGCGCGCTGCAACCTGTCGTTTGCTGGCGCCGAACCACTGCTGCGTGGCTGTTACTCCGGCATGCCCATCGTTTCGTGCCTATTTGTGCCACTGACAACTTGCTGGAGTGTGCTGGAGTGGCTATCCTACTGGAGTGTGGCGTCACCCTCTCCCTGTCTCGCCCAACTCTGCTGGCCGATTGCGCTGAGCTTCACATGACCCTCCACCCCACCCGCCACCCCAAACCGTTGCCCCAGTCTTTTCAGACGACCGTCACCAGCCTGGCCGCCCTGCGGGCCGCCCACTTTGCGTCGTATTCGGAGCGCTGGTGCGCCTCGTTCAACGCCGCGCTGCCCGCCGCGCTGCCAGCCCTGGGCCATGACGGCGTGCGCCAGCTGCTGGTCGGCGTCTGCAGCCTGCGCCTGCCACAACCCGCCTCGCTGCTCGCCGCGACAACGCTTGGCCCGTACGTGGAGGCCGCCGCCGCCGCCGAGGCGGGCGGCCTGGGCTCAGAGCGCGCGCAGCAGATGCTGCTTCAGCTGTCTGTGCTGCTCGGCGAGGAGACGCGGCTGCCCCACGTGCCTGCGGGCCTGGCGCGGGAGTTACTGCTGCGGCGGCGGCAGCACCTGCAGCGGCAACTGGTGCGCGAGGGGAAGGACAGGGGCGGCACGGCGCGGGGCATCGCGGGCAATGGCAGGCGGCCGCAGGGCAGAGAAACGCAGCAGCATCCGCAGCAGCATTTGCTGCAGCAGCAGCAGCAGCAGCAGCAGCAGCAGCCGTTGTTGCAACAGCAGCAGGAGCAGCAGCAGCAATTGCAACAACAGCACCCGCAGCAGCAGCAGGAGCAGCAGCAGTGGGAGGAGCCTCGGCAGCAGCAGCGGCAGCAGCGGCAGCAGCTGGGGCTGCCGGATCAAGCGCATCAGCAGGCTGTTGTGGCTACTGACGACGCTGCCAGCGACGCAGACGACCCCTCGGATAGCGGCACGTCCGGTGGCGAGTTCGCCACTGTGGCGGCAGGGCGCTTCGCCAGTGATGCCTAAGCAGTGCAGCCTCATGCCGCTGCTTTTTTTGGGAGAAGAACGCCCGTGCTATCTGCTGTACCCACGGCATCAATTGACCGTACGTTGTATCCTGTTGTGAGTAAGAACGTCTGGCCACAGCCCTGCTGAGGCCTGGGAGCGTCGCCGCTGGCTGTGTTGCGAGGGCAGTGCACGGACAAGCTTGACCTGTTGAGCATGCCCAGCTTGCTTGAGCTTCGACATGCTGTACAACAGCGACCCTGATCAGCTGCCCCGAAACACGCACTGGCTTGCCATCAGCACACATAAACCCTCACACACTCACACACAAACACACACAAACACGCACGCACGCATGCACGCACATGCACAATGGAGTTGGGTCGCCGCATATCAAACACGACAGTCTTGAGCACCCAACACAGCCGCTATGTCCTCTTGCTGTGCCAGCCTGCTTCAGATCGGGGAAGTTGATACAATAAATTCTGATGATAGATTCTGAGCATCAAAAGCTGCCAGCTCACACGCAGGCACTCGGCAATCACCGTTGGCTCATTGGAAACCTCGCAACTACTTGGACCGAGTGTTTGCCGGGCCCCTGAGCGGGAATCAACGCTGATTGCCGTGACTATCCCATTATACATCACAGAAGCCTGGTTTCCCCAGTAAATCAGCTTCTGACTCTCCTCGTGGTAATTGTAGCTCTCGCCGCCCAAACAGCGCGATTCACCTCGTGAATTGTACGCAGAAAAGAGATACACAATGCGTCTCAGCACCACTCGCATGTGCGCGAGCATCGTTGCGGTCGCACTCGGCATCGTGCTAGTGGCGAGCGGCACGCGTGCCCAGACGACGGCGGGCGCTGCAGGTGGGACAGGGGGAGCAGCGGCCGCAATGGACGCGCGTATGTGAGTGTGTGCAATCTGGCCGATGTCAATTGGTCCGTGCAGATGTAAAAATTGGGTTCTCTACCACCGCTGGGGCTGGGTCGGCGGTCTGGAACCTGCTCCCGTGGAGCGACCAGCTGCGAGGCCGTCCCTGTGGCCGGCTTGGGCGTCAGCCGTGGTGCTGTGGGTCGATTGATCCTGCGACAATCAGGTGTTTGCGCCTGGCCAGCACCTCGCGCCGGTGCCCCGTGCTGCCGCGTCGCCGCAGCCCCCAAGCCGGGCGAATGGACCAAGCCCGCCTTCTGCAAGGACCTGGAGTGCCCCAGGTACCAGGTGGTGAAGAAGATCAGCGACAACATCGAGCTGCGAAAGTATGAGCCAGGTGGGAAGCAAGATGCGCAAGGCGGTCAACATGAAAGGCAACCCACAGAGGGGGGTGCTGGCTGTGGCACCGTGAGCCAGGGTTGTCCGGAAGCTACTGCGCCGCTGCGAGCCGTAGCGAGAGCGACGCCACAGCGACGCCACGACGCAACGCTGCCCTATTCGCATCCGTGCTTTTGGTTGTGAAGGCTCCTGGGCGTCGACTACCATGGCGGGCAGCGACACAGACCGTGCCATGAGCGGGTCGTTCATGAGGCTCTTCAATTACATCCAGGTG